AACCAGGTGTAAGGCTCGTTCCGTACGAGGGTAAATAAGAGTGGACTGGCTGGCTTGCTCGGCTACGACTTGAGCACAGCGGTGGGCCGAAACACACACGAAGACACTGCCTGCTCAACGATGCTGTTCGGCATGTTGGATTGAGGGGAGGGTAGGATCTAATTGGTGCTCAACTGAATACACAACCATACCCACTCATCATACATCTGCAACATTGTCTTTTTGTACTCTTAATTAGTTGGTGGACAGACTGCTAGCACCTCACAGACAGATTAGATTAGGACGGTTGTATACTACCATAGCCAGTTCTGGCTAATGCTGTTGTAAGAGAACCAATCAGGATATATGTAGACTATGTTGACAATCTGTTGTGAATGTTGTAGATTGCCACTTGATCGGTAAAGTAGGGGACCTGCCGGACACAACTATTTTTAGAAAATTAGGTGCCAGTCAGACACATGCTGTGGTAGGACTCCACTAGGGGGTTCTAGTGCAGATAATGTTTGCCTAATTCATGTGCCTAATTCATGAATGAGTCAGACATCGATGAGGAGGCAGTTGACAATGCAAGACTAACACGTTCGAGATCACGTAGGATCCCGCACGTGTTCCAGGCCCTACAACCGGAAGACGAAAGACGCATTCGTGCCGAACGCAGAGCCCGTGCTCTCGCAGCATCGAGAGAGGCAGCAAACGTTGCAGCTAGGGAACAGGCTGCAGCAGCAGCCAGGGCAGCAGCCATGTCTTCTGCAGCAGCATCCTCTGCTACATCTTTTGTTGTGTCCTCGTCTGGACCGCAGTTGGGAATGCCAACAGGGTCCACGGGTACTTCCAGTTCAGTAGGATCTCGTCGGTCTACAAGTCAAATGGCGGGCTCGCAGTTCAGCCCGTTGACTCCTCGCGAAAGGGAGCTCAGGGAGCTCCAACAGGTCGAAAAGATCCGTGAACAGTTAGAGAGGGACCTGAAGAAAGCAACTGATAGAGAAAGAGAGATTAAAAATAGAACAGCCAGGCTTGATACTTTAGAGGCTGACAAAGCTGAGTTAGAGGGCTTGGATGAGTCAGCATTGTCTGACCAAATGAAAATACTGAAGCACAATTTGTTGTCGCTGCATGCGCACGTGGACAGCAGATTGGACTTCATGCAGAGCACTCTTGACCAGATCCTGGATGTTCTGACAAGGCCAGGATTTAGGCCACCAGCACAGTCGCCGTTGCCGTTAACGGCGATGTCAGGCCCCTTTCCAGTTCAAGCTGGCACACAACCAAGTGGCACGTCTCCGGCAGCTGCACAGACCGTTGCGTCTTCTTCTTCGGGTTCAGCGGTGGTTGCTACACCACAACAACAACCTGTTCCTCAACAGGGACAGCCGCGAGGTCAATGGTTCCCTAAGACCCCAATGAAACCGCATCTTGCCTTCTCTGGCGAGAGAAAGGACGAAGAACTCAACACTTGGTTGAGAACAGTCCCGGTTTGGGTGAAGGCAAAGAGGACCTTGCTGGACGACGAAGTGGTTACTGCTACATCTTACCTCGAGGGTAAGGCAGCCAAATGGCTAGATGGTGTAGTGGTAAAGGCTGGGTACGGACGACGCATGGCGGACTGGGCTAAGACTCTTACGTTAGATCAATTCATGGAGATGGTAGAAGCTCGATGGCATAATCCACAGGAGACACAAAGAGCCACTTGTGCGATCAACAGTCTAAACCAACGAAAGTTCAAGTCGGTCAGAGAGCTTACGACTACCGTAGAGAGCCTGATCCTCATTCCTGGCATCAACTACAGTGACCAGTTCCTGTTGACTACGTTTGTTAGATGTCTTCCAGAGAACATCAGGAACTTGCTGGCCAGCGAGGAACGCCTCGAGTACCATTCGTTTGAGACGTTGTCTAGGAAAGCATTAGATTTGGAGGCCACTCTAGGCAATGCTCAACCCTCTCAGAATGACACGAAGAAGAAGAAGAGTCCGCAGGAGTGGAAAAAGAAAGGGGCTAAGTTGATGATGGTTGAGTCCGATGGGACTCAAACGGAGATCGATGAGCTGACCGACCTGCTGGACAGTTCAGAGTACGACGGCGAGGAGACCGCTGAGGGTAGCACCCTCGCCGCAGTAGTTAAGGCTAAGGCTGGTGGCCGAGTGAAGGGCCAACCAAAGAGTCAAGGGAAGGCCGCCTCTAATCAGACCAAAGTGGCTGATTGGGTAAAGGCAGGTCTTGATCAAGACGTGTGGCGTGACCGTCGAGTGCGTGGCGCTTGTATTAACTGCGGGGAATACGGACACTCGCAGTACAAGTGCCAGAAAGCAAAGGTTACGCAAAAGATACCTCCAAAGATGGGGGTATCTTATTCCCAAGCTTCTAGCTCGGGAAACGCGTGAGGCCGGTCGAAGTATTAGCTGCTTCTACTCAAGATGAAGTGGGCCTGATACCCTCCCCACTTCATGAGAAGGCCAAAGCTAACGACTCTTTAGTCACCCTGCAAACGCATCCGGACCAAACTATGCTCTATACGTTGGATGTGTCTGAAGCCTTAGAAGACTTAGAAGGGGAGTGGTCAAACAAGGACCCTCGCGAGTCTTGGGTGGCGCTAAAGAAAGGTCCTAGAGGAGAACATTTCATAGTGGAAGTGGACGTAGGAGGCCACAAATGTGGTGCCTTCATAGACATCGAATCCACGCGAAATTGCATAAGTCACGACTGTTTGGAAAGGCTGCACCTACAGGACCGGGTACGGCACCTTAGTAGACCTGTAACATCTACTTTGGCTAACAAGGAGCGCATGATAGTAACAGACTATATTAAGGACGTAGTCTGTACCTTCTCCTATGGAGGAGGAGAACTTAATCATAAGATTTCATTCTTGGTTAGCGACGACTTACCATTCGACATGTTGTTAGGCATGTACTACCTCGAAGTTGCTAAGCCCCAATTTGACAGGGATAAGAAGGTGCTCAAACATAATTTGCCCGATGGTCGAACTGTCAGATTGACTAAGTTCAAGGCCAGTAGCATTACAGATACCTATGGCTGCTTGTGTGCATCAGCGTTCTACAATTATTATAAGCAAAACCAAGAGGAGGGTATGTACCTAGTGTATGTCTCTGAGAAAGGGGAGGCCGTTAAAACACCCCCAGAGATAGAACACGTCGTTGCTAAGTTCCCTAATCTGTTCGAAGAGCCCATAGGAGTTGTTGAAAGGGAAGTTGTCCACGCTATAGAAATCATTCCAGGGAGTAAGACCCCAAAGGGAAGGATCTATAGGATGGCTCCCGCCGAGTTAGATGAACTTCGGYGACRRCTWAAGGAGCTGACARAAAAGGGATGGATYCGGCCTAGTACTTCCCCTTACGGATCTCCCGTGCTATTCGTACCGAAGAAGGGGGGTACATTGAGGATGTGCATTGACTATAGAGGCCTCAATGCCATCACCCTGAAGAACGCCGAGCCTCTACCTCGCATAGACGACCTACTGGATAGGGTGCAGGGATGCAAGTACCATAGCAAGATAGACTTGAAATCCGGCTATCATCACATCGCTATAAGACCTAAGGACCAACACAAGACAGCTTTTCAGACTCGATATGGTCTGTATGAGTTTGTAGTGATGCCCTTTGGTCTTTGCAATGCGCCGGGAACATTCCTGCACGCTATGAATCGGAACTTTCATGACCATTTAGATAAGTTTGTCATGGTTTACCTTGACGACATTCTGATCTTTAGTAAGTCTGCCGAGGAGCATGCACAACACGTTGAGACTGTACTTTCACTCCTACGACAGCACAAGGTCAACCTAGAGAAGTGTGAGTTTGGTCGCACTAAGATACTATACTTGGGTCATGAAGTATCCGCGGAAGGGATTAGGCCGGAAGATCGGAAGGTGGCTAGTATTCGAGACTGACCACGACCTCAGACTATCACTGAGGTTAGATCTTTCTTAGGAATGTGCCGCTACTATAGGAACTTTGTAAAGAACTATTCTACAGTCGCCTCTCCTTTGACAGATCTAACTCGACTTGACACGCCGTGGGACTAGAGTGATGAGTGCGAGGGTGCTTTCAAGCGACCGAAGCATGCACTCATAAATCATGAGGTTCTCATGGTTCCCGATCCTCAGAAGCCATTCATAGTGACCACTGACGTAAGCCAATACGGCATTGGCGCAGTGCTGGCTCAACAGGATGGGAAAAAGTTGAGACCGATTGAGTATATGAGCAAGAAGATGCCATCAAAGAAGTTGGCCAAGTCCACCTATGAAAGGGAACTCTATGCTCTATATAAAGCACTTGTCCATTGGAGACACTTCCTATTGGGAAGGTTCTTCTACTTGAGGGCTGATCATCAGACCCTCAAATGGATCAAGACTCAACCGGCTCTTTCTGACGCACTCAAGCGATGGATTGAAGTCATAGACCAATTTGACTTCAAGCTTGAGTATCTGAAGGGAGAGTACAACCAGGTTGCAGACGCCCTATCACGTAGGGCAGACTACCTAGGTGCGCTAATTTCTGACTTTGATGTATCTGAAGAAGTAACTCAATCATTGGTGGGAGCCTATCAGGAAGACCCTGTCATGATGGACATCATGCGCAAACTTCAGGCAAAAGACAAGGCCACAGAAAGTGAGTTTGTGATGATGGATGGGTTACTCTTTCTCGATAAGGCCGGTTGTAAAAGATTAGTAGTTCCATCTAGTGAACGTTTGCGTAGTTTATTTCTAGGAGAATGCCATGACGCAACCGAACACTTTGGCTACAAGAAGACGAGTGCTAATCTAGTTCAGCGATTTTGGTGGCCTGGAATGCTAGACCATGCAAAGAAGTACGTAGAGACCTGTCAGGTCTGTCAGCGGGATAAGCCGCGAACTCAAGCACCGCTTGGGTTGCTAAAGCCCTTGCCTATCCCCTCTGGTCCAGGACAGAGTGTCTCCATGGATTTCATGGATACCCTGGTGACCAGCAAGAGTGGCAAGAGGCACATCTTCCTCATCATCGATCGATTCACCAAGTACGCTAGAGTAGTTGCAATGCAAAAGACCGCAAGGACTGACTATGTCATCAAGTTGTTCAAGGACAACTGGGTGCGTGACTTTGGTTTACCAAAGACCATCGTTAGTGACAGAGATGTCCGCTTCACAAGCGAGCTATGGAAGAAGATTGTTGAACAGATGGGCAGTCAACTTCAGATGACTTCAGGGAATCATCCTGAAGCCAACGGACAAGCCGAACAAATGAACAGAGTTGTACAACACTTGTTGAGGCACTACATCAAGCCCAGCGAGGATGACTGGGATGAGCAGTTGCCTCTCATCGCCAACCTGTACAACAATGTTGTACATAGCAGTACCGGCGTTAGTCCCAACCAGCTGCACTTGGGATGGAAGCCTAGATCAGCCCTAGACTTCCTCCTTCCTGAAAACCGACCCGCCGCAACTCCAGGCACACTTGAGTATGGTGTGCAGTATGAGAAGTTGTTGCAAGAAGTTGTCGAGCACATGAAGAGAGCTCAGCAAGCAATGATTGCTTCTGAGAATCAACATCCTAGACATTCCTCATTTCAGGTAGGGGAACGTGTTTGGGTCAAGGCTAGCGAGCTAGGACAAGAATTCAGAATCTCTCGTAAACTAATGCCTCAGTATTTTGGTCCCTGGGAAGTCCAGGATATAGTGGGAGATGAGATGGATGGTCCCACATATGTCATTCGTGTCCCTTGACACCTACGCACTCACCATGTCTTTCATGCCTCAAAGCTTGCACCTTTCACTGAGACGGATCAGTTCCCTTCAAGGAGATTGATGCTGCCCCCAACCATGGATGGTCAAGTGGACATCGACGACATTGTGGATCACAGAGATCTGGCTGTTCAGAAGCCATTGGGAAGAGGAAGACCTCCAAAACCCAAGCGGGAATATCGTGTCAGATTCAGGCATCATACAGATCCAAAAGAAGGCCAATGGTTCACCAGAGAGGAACTGATTGACACAGCTCCTCAAGTGGTAGTAGAATATGAGAAGAAGCTGAAAGGGAAGGCACCTGGGAAGTAAGCATCTCAGCCGACTTTCGAAGCTAAGGGGGATGGAATGTGAGGATTGAGCCCTCAAGAAGGGGCCTTGCCATGATGTACATTTCTGGGCCAAGGCCCCAGCAAGCCTAGTGCCCGCCCTAAGTGAAGGCGGGCCAGCAAATCAACAAGAGCCCTTTGTACAAACATTTCACAAAGTGGGGTTCATACAGTTGCAGCACGCCAGTTGGTTGGAGTGCACCGAGTCTCGAATCTCTGCAAATGTGGAGATCCCAGGGCCTCTGAGTTAGTTAGGCCCTGG